GTCTACAAAGTATTCAATAGTCGAAGTTGCTGTTGCTGGCGTTTGTTGTTGTGCATTGAGGCGTTGCAAATGGCTGTGGGGCGTGTCACATGCTCATCAGCAGCAGCAACAGCAGCAGCAACTTACAGCAGCAGCAGCAGCAACTCTCGCATCAGCAGCTTGTTGCACACTTTTACGCAATGTAAACTGAAATTTTGTTGTTGCTTTTTTGTCGTTCGTTCAGCCCTTTTGGCCGCGACCCGCGTGCAGCTTGAGCATCATTAGTTGGCCGCTTGCTTTCTTTTGTGGCTGACGTTAAGTTCGCCCCTCAACAAACTAAATCATGTAAGCTGCTGTCTTACATAAGTCTTTGGGTCAGCTGCGTTTAATTAATCACAGTCAAGCAAAATAAAAAAGAAATAAAAATAAAATGTTTAAAAATTGACCCAAGTCGATGACAAAAGTTCAATAAACTGCTCGTTAGTTTGTTCGTTTGATTAGCCGCATTTTGCAACGCTAGCTGATGAAAATGAAATTATAAACATTTTATGTAAACAACCAACAGCAAAAGCAGCGAAAAACAAATGCCAAAACAAAATAGCGAAACGCAAAACAAAAACTCACAAAAAAATCGCCAACAGTTTTTTTAATAGCCGCTGCGAACCGCACACAAATTACGCGTTTCATTTCCTTTTCCTTCAGCAACAACAACGACAGCAACCGCAAAAATAATAATTTTAAATGCGCTTTAAAACCAATAATAAAAGAGTATATGAAGAAAAGCGCAAGCCAAGGGAAAAGCGAAAAAGAAAAGGCTTTCAAAGACTGATGGAAAGCTGCAAGAGCAAATCAAACTTTAACTTTCCCTCAGTCTAAACAGGCCCAAATTCGACTGCAATCTGAAAAGTCAACAACAAATAAAATAATATTATTATTGAATATTTGTTTCTTGACGGCCCGCAAACAACAACAAGCAATACGTAACCCGGCAGTGGCTGCAAGAGATGCTCAACACAAATATTTACACAATTACTTAGGGAGAGAAGGAGTGGCAGGGCGAGGGCGGGGGCTGTGTAGGGCTTAGAGTGTAAATCATTTTAGCTAGTACTTCAAGCACGTAATGTGCAGCAGCAGCAGCAGCAACAGCAACTGCAGCCATGTAACGGGTATTATCATTTTGTCACGAAATATGTTACGTATTGAAAGAGACTTTGGTTTTGTGAATAAATATAATAATAATGCATAATATTTATAGCCAAAGCAAACTGTATAAGCTTGCTAAGCTGTAAGCAGACTAAAACTCAATCAGATTTTTTAAGACTAGAACTTTCTGTGCTTTGACTTATGATAGTAAGGCAAAACTGTCAGAATAATTAAATAAACACATTTTGAAAAATTAAAAAATTAAAAAATATTAATAAATAAATTATAAATAAACAATAAATAAACAAATGTAAGAAAAAATCAAATAAATAAATTTTAAAAAAATTTAAATTAATACAAAAATTTAATTTAAATAAATAAATGAAAATATGAAATGATATATATTAGTTATTTATATATCATAAATAAAAACAAATATTTTAAAACTTAAAAATAAATGAAATATTTTTGTTTTTTTAATCAATTTATGTAGAGAAATTTTGCCATATCTTTTATTATTATATAGTATATTAATCACTATTTCACTGATATATATATATATATATATATATATATATATATATATATATATATATATACATAAATATACCATATTATTCAATTTAAGTGTCTTACAATTCGCGCTTCATATGTGTTAAAAAGTGTATTTAAATATTTGTAAATTCCCAGCAAACAGTTCTTTTTTTTGTTGATTTTTTCGCGCTCTTTTGTTTTTGAGTAATGGCCGAAAACAATGAATCATAAGCATACATGCAGTATATAATTAAGCATGTGTGTGTGTGTGTTTGTGTTTTAGTGTGATTAGCTACACCCAGTTAAGTGCAGCAGAAAAAAACACAGAGAAACACAGCCTCAGCTATTCGAGCATGGGCATGAGCTGTATGAGCCGCATGTGGCAGAACGCCCACATTGCGCATACGCCAGGCTGTGCGAACGAGAGCTGCGGCTGTAGCAGACGTTGCACACATGCTGCACTTGGCGTGGCTTAGTTGGTCGACTGGCAGCAGCCTGTTTTGGCTTTTTATGTTGACTTTTTTCGATTTGGCGCTCCTCTGCTTGACGCTGATAAATGTGTCGGATTACGCAATGAACGCACACATGACGGACGAGCAGGTAACAGGTAACAGGTAACAATAATGAGCAAGCAAGCACACCAAGCCAGCAAATAGAGAGGCTCGCGTCAGAGTGAGAGAGCGCGAAGAGACCACAAATATTAATATATATGTTGAGGATTTCATTGTGCTGGCCATCGAGTAGCCAAACGACACCTACAAACACCTGAAGAACTGCATTTCGTAACGAAGCGAAGCTTCCCAAAAGACACAACAAAAAGAAACCTCAAGAAACAAAAAAAATAAATGCGCATTCATTGCCGCGGGCTGGGAGGGGATTAGGAAGTTGGTCTTAGCACTCAGAGATCTTAACGCGCATACATTAAAAATAAAAAATAATCAAAATGCACTAAACTCTTTGTTTAGCTGCCTCTTGGCGCTCCACCAACCTGTTTATGTAAGCCCAAATGCGAGTGGGTAACACAATTCAAATCGTAATCAAAGGAAAAAATGAAAAAAGAGCCCACAGTTTGGCTCATGAATAAACATGCATAAATTTATAATTTTAATTTTAAAAATATATATTTTTCTATACACTGTAGGCAGTCTTGAAAGCGAGTATAATAGTTGCCCAAAAAGGTACGCAAAGCGCAGCAGATGAGCTTTGATACTTTAACTAATCTTGATTAGCATAAAGAGCGCAAAATATTAAAGCTAGGTTAATTTCTCTCAACATGTGGAAGACTATAAATAAGTTTGGGTGGCATTTGCTATCGATAACTATCGATAAGTTATATAAATTAAAGTTTTAAGGATTTTTCATAGCAATCAAATCATTAGCATTCATTTGATCTAAGAGTTCAGTGCCCACAATAGAAATTATTCCACAGTTTCGAACTTACTCAGCTCTTAACTTATTGCAGGGTATCTTTTAGTCACGCATTTCCTTCTTCATGCACTCATAATTGTATTCATTCTCTGGGTTTTTACTTTAGTTGAGTGAAAATGCGGGCCTTGGCAACTAGGCCTAACTGGCATAAGCTTAGCCAAGCCACGCTGAAGCTGGCCAACAAACACTCGAGCAGCCAGCAAAGACAATTGACATTTGACGCCCACACACGCTGTGCTGAAGCTAACGAATAATTGTTAAAAAAAAAAAAACAGAAATACTTGATAGAAATAACATTTAACGATGCCACATATCTATATATCTAAATAAATATATTTATGCGAGTGCCATGGACAAAGCCTGACTTGCAACAGACAGTCGCATGGAAAGGAAGGCTATTTGCAGCATGCCGAAGCCATTGAGGCAATTTGTTTGAACTTAATAAGAGCGGACAAAAATAAACAACAAAAACTAAATGCGAGTTCAGCTTTAAACAAGATCAACAAAGGAGAAGCCATGGATATAAGAGTCGTTAATAGATATGTGGAGCGATGGACTTGAGGGATAAATAACTTGACTTGCACAATTATATGTAGAAATATTTGAAGATGTCTTTCAATTTAGATAAATAGGTAGATAAATTTGAATATCAACTGTAGTGGGGGATGTACTAAATAGACAATGTAGATAATTAGTTAGAAACTTAAAGAGACTGGAATAAGTCGAGGCTAATATTGAGTGTGCAGGTATGAAAAGATAGATAGATTAATCTATGTATGTTTTTCGATATATAGGCATCGTTATAGTTAGATAAATAAACAGATACACAACTAGATATAAAAGACATAAAACACAATGCTGTCAGCCATGAAAGACTTGGTTTGCAGAACTAAAGGGATTAAAAGCAAATAAAGTAAAGTAATTCAAATGATAAATAAATTGAGTGATAATTAGTAATAAAATAATAAGTAGATAGATAGCAAGATAGTTATATTAGGATCGAAATAGTGTGAGAAAGAAGGAGGGTTAGAGTGAGAGAATCGGACAGAGTGAGAGTGAGATTAAGAAAAATAGAGAGAGAGAGAAAGAGCGAAATAAATCTCGACATTAATTAAAATTAGTTAAATGACATAGCAGTTCTGTCATTTAAATTGAAGAAATAACTAAATTTACTTTCTAAGGCATTTTTGTATTATAAATAAATTTATAAACTTTCAATATAAATATATATGCTCATAGTCAGGAAGATAGACAGATGAACAGATACGAGTAGTTCGATCAGCAATCTTCAAAACATGCTTGACAGCATTTTCTGTTCGTAAGCAGATACATGTTGAGGCAGAAAGATCAACAGATAGATAAATAGATGGACAAACTTACAATAGTCTTTAGGTATTCATAAATTGAAGACTGTTGCTGTCTAATTAAAAGTCTAGTTGGGTTATAAAAATGCCTAGTAAATTGAATATAAATATACATATATAAATAAAGCTAGTTGTAACGACAGACCGAAAGCTTTATAAATATGGGCACTATATGACGACGTTTTCTGTCTATCAACTGCAAAGAGAGATTAGCCAATGCCAGTTGCTGTGGCTGTTGCCTCTTCTGCCGCACTTTCAGCTGGCCAATTGTTTAGTGTTTTTCTTTTTTTTTTGGCTCGCTGTTTTATGTCTGGCAGCCAACTGGGACTGTTGGCCAAGCTGCGTTGCGGTTGTTGTTGCTGTTGGTGGTTGTTGCTGGCTGTTGCTGCTGGCAGTTGGTCAATAATTGGCATAGATTTATTTCGGCTCGTTTTGGCCAATTTTCCCAAATGCGAGCGCATAATTTTCCGTTGTGTTTTCTGCTGTTGTGTGCCAAAGGGGCGCAGCTGATCTATTGTCTATCTAACGTATGTGCAATACAGGAAAACTTACCCACATCTCCGGCGCTCAAAATTTCTGCTGAATTGCCTGGCATTTGGCTTTCGCTGCCAGCAATTGTTGCTGTTGCTGCCGCTGCTGCTGCTGCCGCTGCTGTTGCTGCTGCTGTTACATTGTCTTGTTGCACGTCTGCCCCTTGCTGCTGCTGTCTAATTGCACCATTAGTTGCACTCGTTTGCGTTTCGCTAGCTGTTGTCGCTGTTGTTGCTGCCTCTACTTGCAACAGCAATGACAATGCCACTAGCAGCAGCAGCAGCAACATGTACGATCCGCGACGCCAAAATGATTCATTGCTTCGATGAATTTCCATCAACGACATCGTTAGCGAAGCATATACCGAAAAAAATTAAATTATATCTATATATATTTATTTATATATATATATATGTTGCACGTTGCACTGTTGCCTGTTGCTCCGTTTTATGTTGGATTTGGTTTTGCTTTTGCTTTTGCTGATTTTCTATCTAGTTTCTATTGTTCGTTTGCACACTTTTCCACAATTGTTTGCCGAAGCTGCGTTGCAACGTGTGCGTCTTGCGGTGGCTGTGGCAGTTGCAGTTGCAGTAACTGCTGCCTCTTCCTTCTGCTGCTGCTGTTGCTGTTGCTGTTGCGTGCAATAATTCAAGTCTTGCTGGCGACTTATCTGTGCTGCTGCCTTGGGAAATCGTACGCCTTGCTGCTGCTGTTGCTGCAAATAGTCGGAAATATAAAGAAAACACAATTTCAAATTAGTGAAATTCAAAAGATTTGTAATACTCTACTTAACTAGCCATAAAATGAAAGCATGCACTGTTATTCATATTGTAAGACTAGCCCACATACAAGTAGTTGGAGATTTCTACAAAATTTCTATATGAAGTAGACCAATTTTAAGAGATTGAATCACAGCTTATCCAGGCTCACACTGCATATACTTATTAAGGTAGTAATTTCAGCAGAGTTCGAATTATAATAAGTAGTATTCTTAACACTACGAGCTGCTAGTGGTTACTACTACACATCTGCTGCTGTTATACACACTAACATATACTATTTGTGCTACTACTATTTCTACAATTAATACTACAATTTTACATTTGTCGTCTACTCTGTCGCATACTACTACTATTGACAGATCTACTGCTACTTTGAATGCTACTACTAAATTACTCAATCTACAACTACTACTAATTTAGATTCTGATACAACTGCAGAAATTACTTATATTACTACTACTCGTCTACTACTACTTTAACTTATACTACTGCTGTTTCATGTTATAGTAATACTATTTTATATTATACTACTACTGATATAACTTTGATTGATAACATAATATACAATTTCATAATATAATATTTCATATTAAATTAATTCTACTGCTACTATTGCATACTAGACAAATACTACTACTATTTTATTTTGTTCTACTACCATTTCATATTCTACAACTTCTATTGCTACTACTTCTACTTTTACTACTATCTACCTATATTTACTCACTGCAACTATTTTCCACTTATTTCTAAAACAACTTTTGCTACTACTGTTACTATTACTGCTTCTATTGCTACTAGCATTACTTCTGCTACTACTTTTCCCTTTAGTATTACTTATTTTATAACTTTAACTACTACTTTTGCTACTTTTATTATTTCTGTTTCTATTTTTGATGTTAGTATTGCTTCTACTACTTTTACCAACTACTATTTTTGCTACTACTATTACTACTGCTCCAACTTTTGCTATTAGTACTACTTTTCCTACTACCATTTCGAATTTAAGTTTTTTTTACTACCAATACAACTATTTTTAGCTCTACTGCAAGAACCAATTCTACTGCAGACCAGCAAAGGTAGCTCACATTATTTCCTTCATTTTTTGCTTTTTTTTACAAAATATATAATACAATTTTATTGATGAAGATTCAAAACCCTAACCGTAGACAATCATTAAAATTAGCTAATTTGCAACTAAAGACACATAACGAAACCAAGTCAATGTCTATATTAGCTAAAGTCTATAGTTTATAGTTTTAGCTTTAGGCATCATTTCCCAACTGTGTTAAGCAACATCTGGAAATTCAGATATACACACATATTTTTATATATATAAAGTATATATGGTATTCAGCCTAGTTGCAGTCAACGCAGAGACCGTCTCAATGCTGTGTCAGTTGCCTTGTCTGCGAGCGATACGCAGCGACCCATTGGCCATCGGAGCGTGGCATATGAACACATCATTATAAGTCACATTAAGTAAGAGTGATAACTGAGGTCGGCTCAATAAAACATAAAAATGCTACAAAAAAAAAAATGAAAAACACGCATACGCCCAGTTGTACATGGCGCCTGACAGTTGCTTTGGCATTAAATAGGCATAAGCAACTATATGCATATATATGTATATATAAAAGCAAATCGTTTGGTTTATGGCAATGTGTGTCATTGCCTGCTGAGAAATCAATTAAAAGGCAGTGGCAGCAAATTGTTTGGCTTGCGCAAAATTACGTTGGCAAATTTCACTTTGGTTTTTTCTTCTTTTTCTTTCGTATTATTTTTTGGTTCATAAAATGCAGCGCGCTGGGTGCCACGCCCCATTTTGCGTAATGCGTAATGCCAAAATATAGATATCTATATATATATAAATGTTTATGTCAATCTATTTCAATTGTCATGCAGATGCGCAGCAGCACCAAAAGCAGAAGAAGCCAAAGCCAGAGCCAGAGTCAGAGCTCATTAGCATTAGCATTGGCTTTGGCGTCTTCATATTAGCACTAGCATTGACTACCACGAATTGTGCGGCATTTCTATCTTTGGCCACGACTCACGGCTTACATTAATCAAATGCCTTTCACAACTCCAGCGAGAAGCAGAACCCAAAGTTCAATGTACGCCCAAAATAACAACCATTTTCGATGCCTACTCGAAAGTAGCGGCTAATGATTAATCGTATATAGAATTAGCAGAGCTCAAGCAGGATGCTAGTAAGCAGAAGATAGAGATTTGCATGACAGATGAACCGAAGCGCACACTCTCAGCAGCTCCCCAATTATAATAGCTGGCATATCATATTTGCGCTGCGTATATGAAGTGTATTATTAAATTTCAAATTACTTTTTTTTTGTTATTGCTCATTAAAATTTAAAAAAAAAGAAGAAGAAGTGTATGTAGATATATATATTTATTTAAATATATATATTCATATATATATATATGTATATATTCGCAGTTTAATTATAAGAAAGCCAACGCCATTTTTTACATGCTTAGCGCTCATTCGTAATTTGGTTTTTTTAGGATACCCTGTATAAATTGAGAAGAACTTTGATATGGGGTATGTAAGAGCAGAAGATGGGCAAAGATATATCTAAATATTTGATGGGTTCAAAAGAGAGTTTGAGAGGGTATCTAGATAATTCATGAGTTCAAAAGATTGATGTTCTTATATTTTTCTCTAAACAAATTATTTAAAAAACATTTTCATAATTTATATACAATAAAATATATATCTACACTATAAAATAAAAATCTATAGCAAATTTTCTTCATTATTAATTCATTTATGTTTTTATATTACAGAATTGGTTTCATTCAAATCGAAGTTTTCGTTAAGGAAATATAACTTTGCAAACTTTTGTATAAAGTCAAACCTATTCAGCTGACCGACTCTGTATGCGTGAAAGGCAAAATAAGTTATAAATGTGAACACTTGATATAATTAAATAGAAAAAGTGTTCAAAACAGATTTTATATTATGTTAAACAGTATTAAGTGGACCAGTAAACAGGGTATTCGACTAATGGAATGGGACATGTATAATCTTTATATGAAGAATATTGAAAGCTGTTAGCTTAGGCAAAACTATATAGTCATATAAACATTTTATATATTTAATATATAATAACAATTTGAAGTAAAGCTTCAATAAAATAATTATTATTAACATTATTAATTATTATTAACATTAATCGCTTTCATTTACAGGGCATCTTCAGGTTAGCATCTGGTTATTTGCTTGCTTTTTTAACTTTTTGTTGTTGTTTGTTTTAATTTGTTTATAACATCAGCGTTCTAAACTTAAAAACATGCGCGCAATAAGTTTACAACGCACACGGACCCAAAATACGAGGCTCCGCGTTGTGGCTTAGACAAATTAAACTTTTTTCTGTTGGGCTTTCGGACCGCCTTTGACTGGCAGCTGGAAAACATGACAGATCGAAGCTCAATCAGCGTCAAGAGCGAACAGAACAAATCTGAAGTGCCCGACAATTGGATGACTTTGAATTTGAAGTAATTTGATTGTTTGCTTGATTAAGTGCCGACTGGGAAAGAATATTTTGAGAGGCAGCCAAAGCTTATGACAAACTCAAAGCAAAAACGCCCACGTCGAGCTCCACAGGTATTTCACATCATACAATTTTTTTTACTAGTTTTTGTTTATCTGCTTAAAGAGGCGTTTTTATCAGACAGTCGGACAGAGAAATCAGCTTTCGTCTGGAACAATGGGCCGCAGCTGATTAAACATGCGAGATCGTGAAACTACAAAAAGAGAGGGACAAGCGCTGAAATGTTTATTTAATATCAATACAATTTGATCAGCCAAAAATAATAATATCTAAACAAACGGCAAATGGCAAATGTAAACAAGCTGTTGTAATCCCCTGGGAAGAAATAAGCGAATACAAAAGCTAAGCACCTTGAAGCTAAGTCTGTCGCCCATAAATTTGCCAGCTGCAACTGTTATCGATCAGTTAAGCTAGAAATTAATCTGAGCCATAAGCAATATAAATAACGAACAAACAAGACATCGAAAACCATTAAGTAAAGTCAACACTGATTAATCCATTTATAATCTAAATAAGCTAGCTGAGCTTTCAGAACTCGTATCGATCAAATTTCCCAACAAGCTTACTTTAGTCGCATCTTTCAGTCAATTGTTTAGTGCTAGAAAGCCATACAGCTACTGATTGATTATATAAATAATACATACTATACTATATACTATATATAGTATATACAGCTAGCTGGCATATCTAATGGCACCGACAAAGGTTGACTGCTGCTTCCTCGATGCCGACTTATTACAAAATATAGTTATTAAGCTCATAAGCACCTGCGCAATTAGAAGAGAAGAATATGCTAATACTTATATACTTATATATCAAGTATATGGTATAACACGAATCACAATTTGTCAGCCATGAAGGTGAAGCGCAGTAGCAGTTAGTTTTTTCGTTTCGTTTTTTATTTTTTATAATTTTTTTTTTTTTTTTTTGAGTTTAGTTTCGATTGTTTTTAATTTCAAGCCACGCATGACATATTCGACATCAGATGTCGTCAACTTCCTTTTCGTACGTAATAAAATAATTATGAAGAACAAATATTAAGGTTTGCGACACACACACAACTTAATAATACAAATAATGCATAATTTTAGCTGAGCGCGCGAGTGAGAGAGAGCGAGAGAGAGGAGGTCCAAGTATCCGCTGCTGTTGATCGTGCAATAGACTCGACCCTGAACCGAGTCGCAGCGCACGTAAGAATGTTCCATGTTCCATTGTTATGTTTGCCCCCACTGAGAGCTATAATTTGTATCGGATATTTACACGTATCATTCTAATGAAATTCATGCACACTAACACACGTGAATCACAGTTGACAAGCACTTTAACACGTTGTTGCAAACTAATTCATTTGCTTATGAGAG